ATCTGCCAGAGCAATGTTACATGCCAAAAGACTTCCTATGTATTTTTGGGCTGAAGCTATGAATACAGCTTGCTATGTTCATAACAGGGTCACCTTGAGAAAGGGAACCTCATCCACCATATATGAACTCTGGAAAGGAAGAAAACCAATTGTGAAGTACTTCCATGTGTTTGGCAGCAAATGCTATATTCTGTCTGATTGTGAACAAAGAAGAAAACTGGACCCCAAAAGTGATGAAGGCATATTTCTAGGATACTCCTCAAACAGCAGAGCTTATAGAGTATTCAACTCCATAACCAAAACCATGATGGAATCAATAAATGTTATAATTGATGACTATCATGAAGAAATAGATGTTCCTTGTACTGTTGAGACATTCTTTGAGACTTCAACCCAACAGAATGACCTACCCAACTCCACCACAACAGAATCTGAATCAAAGGAAGCTAGCAAGATCCCTTCCATCAGAATTCAGAAGGATCATCCAAAAGAGCTCATCATAGGAGATCCCAATAGTGGAGTCATCACAAGATCTAGAGAAATCATCTCAAACTCTTGTTTTGTGTCCAAATTGAAACCAAGAAATGTCAAGGAAGCCTTAACTGATGAATATTGAATTGGTGCAATGCAAGATGAACTGAACCAATTCAAGCAACATGAAGTTTGGGAACTGGTTCCTAGACCTGAAGGAACTAACATCATTGGGACAAAATGGATATTCAAGAACAAGTCAGATGCTGAAGGAGTTGTCACCAGAAATAAGGCAAGACTTGTTGCTCAAGGATACACCCAGGTTGAAGGGGTTGATTTTGATGAAACCTTTGCACCTGTAGCCAGGCTGGAATCAATCAGACTCTTGTTGTCAATTGCTTGTCTTCTGAAGTTCAAGTTATTTCAGATGGATGTGAAAAGTGCCTTTCTAAATGGGTACTTAAATGAGGAAGCTTATGTGGAACAACCTAAAGGTTTTGTGGATCCAACCCATCCTGATCATGTCTACAAATTGAGAAAAGCTCTATATGGCCTGAAACAAGCTCCTAGAGCATGGTATGACAGGTTAACAAAGTTTCTCTCAGACAAAGGCTACAGAAAAGGAGGCTTGGACAAAACTCTCTTTATCAAAACTGAAGGAGGGAAGTTGATGGTTGCCCAAATATATGTTGATGACATAGTGTTTGGAGGAATGTCAGAACATATGGTTAAACACTTTGCTGACCAGATGCAGGTTGAATTTGAAATGAGTCTCATGGGAGAACTAACTTATTTTCTTGGACTACAAGTCTCACAGATGGAGGACTCAATCTTCTTATCTCAAAGCAAGTATGCTAAGAATATTGTAAAGAAGTTTGGTATGGAGAATGCAAGTCACAAAAGGACTCCTGCTCCTACTCATCTAAAGCTTTCCAAAGATTCAAGTGGGGTTAAGGTGGATCAAAGTCTGTACAGAAGCATGATAGGAAGCTTGTTGTACTTAACTGCCAGCAGACCTGATATTGCCTTTGCAGTTGGAGTTTGTGCTAGATACCAAGTTGATCCCAAAGTCAATCATATCAATCAAGTGAAGAGAATTTTGAAGTATGTAAGTGGTACTTACAACTATGGATTGATGTATACTCATGGCTGTGAACCAGCTCTGACTGGCTACTGTGATGCTGATTGGGCTGGTAGTGCTGATGATAGAAAAAGCACCTCTGGAGGATGTTTCTTCTTGGGAAGTAATCTGGTTTCCTGGTTCAGCAAGAAGCAGAATTGTGTGTCTCTTTCCACTGCTGAAGCTGAATACATTGCAGCTGGTAGTAGCTGCTCTCAAATGATATGGATGAAACAGATGCTCACTGAGTATAATGTCACACAAGATGTTATGACATTGTACTGTGACAATCTGAGTACAATCAACATATCCAAGAATCCCATTCAGCATAGCAGGACCAAACATATTGACATACGACATCACTTTATCAGAGACCTTGTAGAAGAGAAGACAATCAAATTGGAACATGTTGCCACTGAGCTACAGCTGGCTGACATTTTTACCAAGGCTCTGGATGCAAATCAATTTGAAAACTTAAGGGGTAAGCTGGGTATTTGCCAACATGAGGAATTGTAGCAATTAATTTTGCTTAAAACAAGGATCAAAGGAGTTATGCCTGTTCTGATTGGTTTAAAATTGTATTTTCTCATTTCCTACAATTCTTTTAAGAAGTTGAATAGACACTCCCTTGCTTCCTTCCCCTCTCGTCTCCTCATCAAAACCCAGTCTCTCAATCAGAAATTTCTCCTCAGTTGCTGTTGGTCCTCTAAAACTGTCAAAATGTCTCAAACACCATCATCATCCAATACGACTATTTCAACCTCTTCCTCTGATCAAGATTCTGGGACAATCTCTTCTTGTCTGGACTCTGACGTTCTGGAGATCTCTTCTCGTAGAAAAGTGGGAACTAACCCCACCAAGGTCAAAGAGTTGAGAACAAGACATGCAGGAAAGCCCCAAGCTTCTGCCTCTGGTAATCCATCTCATCCTTCTTCTTCAGTTCCCCCTGAAATTGCAAATAGGGAAGGGACAGCCTATGTTAATCAAGCAATAGCAAAAATTGTTTCAAGAATTCTGAACGAGAACCACTCAGTTCCTGGCATTTCTGTTCCTTTGAATCAAGAAAGCTCAAATGTTGAAACAAATCCAGATGTCTCTAAGAATGTTGAGACATCAAACAAAGAGAAGAATGCTGACATTGCTCACAAGAAAAGAAAGAAGCCCGAATCCTCTGGATCTGATGACAGTGCTTGAAGGTTGGTTGCTGATATCTGGTGGAGTTTGGAAGTGTATTCAGTTGTTTTCTACTGCTGCTCTTATTATTTTGTCTTGGATAACTGTATAATTTTATGAACATGTATCTTTGGCCCATTTGTGGCTAAAGAGGGGGAGAATATTTTGGTACTTACTTAATTAGTACTTGACATTCTATTTTTCTGCTGTCACTTATTTCTGCTGTTATCTATCTCTGATTGCTTAGGGTCTTTAGCCAAAAATCTGCCAAAGGGGGAGTTTGTAGGTGTTTAGGTATTGGCTTGCATTTTTGGTAAATCCCAAGTGTATGTGTGAATGTCATGACTGATGTCATAACATTCTAGTTCAGTTTGTACTGACTCATTAGGTACTTTTGCAGAAAAATATTGTAATTCAAGTACTGATGTTTATAAGTGTGTATCTGAGCATTTTGCAAAATGATCACATTTTGCTAAATCAGTAGACAGGTTTTCTCAGATGTCATAACAAATGTTATGACATCCTGTTCTGAACTAACAGGTTTGCAGGATGGATAAGTCTGAGTTTTTTCAGGAAATAACTCAGTCTTTCCTGAACAGAATCCTGCGTTTTCTGAGGGGTAACCTAGCTCAACCCTAACCTGGTTAATAAAGTCCTGTGACCTGGTCTTTAGGTCAAACGGAATTAACCCTGGGTTTTTGTGGAAACCCTAACTGAAGTTGCAGCTGCTATATATTCAACAGAGCTGCTGTTTTTCAAAGTATCCCTTTTTATTGATTAGAAGATCATTTGTAATCTGTATAGATTTGATTATTGTACTCCAAGCAATTATCATTGTGATAAGTGCCTTGGAATAAGTTTCTAATTGTAAGGGTTGTGTAGCACTCAAAGCTTTGAAGCAAGAATGTTTGAATGTTCCTTGACTAAAGCTGTGAAGCAGAGTCAAGTTAGTTGTGTGCATCACTCAAAGCTGTGAAGCACGAGTGATTGTGTTGCTTGATTAAAAAGCTGTGAAGCTTAATCAAGTGTTTGTTTTTTGTCTTCATCAATTTTTAAGTCAAATTGGTTTATGTATCACTGCTGTGATTGAGGGGGAGTGAGTAGGAACTCAGGTTTAAGTTGTACTTAGATTGGAATTGCATTGGGTAGGTCTTAAGTGAAGGAGATAAACTGGTTGGTTTATTCCTGAATTAACATCTCTTATAGTGGATTTCCTCCCTGGCTTGGTAGCCCCCAGAGCAGGTGTTGTTGCACACTGAACTGGGTAAACAATTGACTGTGTTCTTTATTGCTTTTGTATTTACTGTCATATAGTAAGTCAGATACGGTGTCATAACATTGAACGTGACATTAAGTATCTGCAGCCAGAATTTCATATTGTACTCTATAGACGAGGAGTTGACACACTACATATATCCTCTAATTCCATTTGTGCATGATAGTCCACAAATATCACATCGACATTTTTACAAAGGACAGTGGCAGGAGCATCAACTATGGGGTCTTTGGGTATACCCTACAAATGCTCGAACTTGCGCAGGTAGATACGGGTACATAAATTGAATTCCACAGGTCATCCATCAAGAGTACCAGGATATCGCCTCCTACAATCGTGTATAACAATGCTCGTCGAACGGTGTAACATATCTGTCAAGATGCAGTCAATAGCAAGCTTATACGTCATTGTCGTTAAATTACCTCTAAGGGAGATAATCGAGCATGCACGTTATAAATCCTCATAGTAGTCGTCAATACACGCATAACTAGTGATAACTAAAAAATATTAAAGGATTCATGTTTGAAAAATGATTTAGATAAAATATCAGTAAGTGTGAAGCACAAGTACTGTGAAATTAATATCAATAAACGTGTAAATAAATTGCCTAAAACGTCCATTATCATTCAGTCGTGTCGAGTTTGTCATGTTTCATTATTTTTAACTTATGTTTGTTGTAATATTTTAAATTATGTTCATCTTCAAATCGAAACATGGATCCAAATTTTAAAATTCGGACAAACCCCTAAGTAGTGTTATGAACCACTTGACTGTAATTATGAAAAAATTTCATAAAACTTAATAGCGCAAAAATTATCCACACAATAAATCATACACTTAAGTTAATCATAACTAAGGTCAAATTTTCATCTCATTATTATACATGTTATTCATAAAATACAACTATACAAATTTGATACGAAATACAAATACAAATACAATAACTAATGTGTATATCTAATGTCCATGTTCTTGATTTTCCTTCTATACAACAATGCATGTTATACCTCTGCTAAAATTGCCTATAAAATAACTCTCAATAATGTCTTTCTAAAACTCTCATCAAGTTATGGCCTTTCCCCCAATTGCAACAATATGGTGACATATCAATCAAATAAAATCTCCTCTAGTTATGGTCTCTCCCCCAAATGCAACAATACAGTGACATATCAGCCATACATCCACTACACGGTTCACTCTCGCATGTTCCTCTTCAAGTACTCATATTGAGCTTACTTGTGAGGATCTTTTATGGTTCTGGAGTCATGCAAGGATGCGAGATTATAAAACTATTGAATGTAACTATATATTGTACTCCATAGACGAGGAGCTGACACACTACATACATCCTCTAATTCCATTTGTGCATGGTAGTCCACAAATATCACATCGATATTTTTGCAAAGGATAGTGGCAGGAGCATCAACTATGGGGTCTTTGAGCCTACCCTACAAATGTTCGTACTCGCGCAGGTAGATGCGGGTACATAAATTGAATCCCACAGGTCATCCATCAAGAGTACCAGGATATCGCCTTTTACAATCGTGTATAACAATGCTCGTCGAACGGTGTAACATATCTGTCAAGACACGGTCAATAGCAAGATTATATGTCATTGTCGTTGAATTACCCTAAAGGAGATAATCGAACATGCACGTTGTAAATCCTCATAGTAGTCGTCAATACCTGCACAACTACTGATAACTAAAAAATGTTGAAGGATTCATGTTTGAAAAATGGTTTAGATAAAATATTATTAAGTGTGAAGCACGAGTATTGTGAAATTAATATCAATAAATGTGTAAATAAATTGTCTAAAATAGACAATTGCTTCATATTGTTTGTCTCATCTTCCATAAACTACTTTTAATTAATTTGAAATAGAGATAAACCAAATAAGATGCCCCATAGTTGTCTCGTGAATCCTCTCTAACTCCGTAAAATATTTAATATATACAACATTTATATCTATGTTGGGTCACTCAACCATGTCCCGAGAGTTTAGCATTTTCCCTGCATACTGAAACATGTTGGGTTACTCAACCATGTCTATATCTATGTTGTTCGTCAGCTATTTTTTTATTATCAAACAAAAAAGGCATAAAACCAAAGATGCGGAAACAATGTATTAGAAAAGAGAATTAAAAAAAAACATAATAAAAAACTAGGAAATCTGAATTTTGGCATCTGTACAATGGATCTGGATTTCAAAATACAAACTAAAACATACTAGAGCAAAATTTGTTCGCGCACGTACCCTGACTCTCAAATGTCTCAAATTCATATTAAATCTTATTAGGATCAAACAAATTGTAGAGCTCTATTTGATGTATTATAATGTAACATAATTATAACTTATTAAGGAATTGTATGTATCACAAATTAAAAACAAAAACAAAAACAAAAAGATGAATGTGCTTAGTTTGAATGGAGAGGAGTAGAAGTTGATGAAGATCCTAGATTTGAACTTACAATAGTAAAACTTGGGAGAAAGATTGGAACAATGTGACAGATAAAAGTTGTTACACAAACTTTTTTCAAATGGAAGGGAAAAACTAGGAAAATACAGGGCAAAAATATTTAAATGAAAGCGTCAGAATTTTAAACTCCTTAAGTTGAATCCTTATTTTGTAATTGAGATTTTTTAATTTGGCCATAATTTTGAAGTTGGGCTTGTTATTGTGTGTTGAGATGAATCCAAATTTCAAAATCCATACATTTTACAATTGTATTTGGCATGTGTTTGAGGTTGTAACATGTCACTACCATACTTATACATGACACCTCTCATTTTGTGACAAAAACACTATAATAACTTTGGAGAAAAGACTAACAAAAATTTTGGAGAAAAAAATTTGCGATATCAAAAATTTGCTTGACAATAGCAGAAATTTTGTTGGCGATACCATAAATTTTACAGCTGATACCAAAAATTTTGTTGAACAAGTAAGCATTTTATCGAAAATAGTGGACTTTTCGGTATTCTATAGCGGAAATTTTCAAAATTTCCGTTTATGTCTACCGAATATTCTAAACTTTTCAGTTTGTCCTTTTTCTTAGAAATTTTTCGAAAATTACAAATTTCCAATAGTTATCATTTTTTTTATTTTATTTTTATTTTTGTTTTTTCTATTTTCTTTTTAATGAGGACCTTAGGGAAAGACATGGCCATTAGAGGCGGGATGACCGACAGAGCAGCCGTCCAGGCCAAGATTGAGCATGCAGAGGCATCCCAATTTTGAATTAGACGAGTTGCTCTGACCGATTCACACCGAAAACAAATGGATGAACAGAAGCAGGGCCGATTTCGTGGAACCAAACGCTGAGCTGTTACGAAGGTTGTTGTTGACGAGGTACCTGTTGTTGTGCAGGTATCTATTGTTGTGGAGGTGCACACTCCTGAGACTGTTGAGGTGCCTCCTAAGACTACTGAGGTGCCTCCTGTTGTTGTTGAGGTGCATGTTGATGTTGAGATACCAATTGAAGAGGTGCCTAATCACGAAAAGACTTTGACTAATACAAATATTATGGCTTGTGCTTCTACTGAGACATTTGTTCATACTAGTGGAGCCTTTCCAAGAGGACCGAGTGACAAGTATGTGCTCACAGACTATGTCGACCATGTTGTCTATTGTTTATGGCAGGGAGAAATATATATTATATGTTGAAGTTTAAATTATTTATGATATATTATTGAAAATCCGTTGATAATTTTTTTTGTTTGTTACAGGACCGTATTTCACTGAATGTGACACCCCACAGACCAAGTTTAAGCACTGGCCACAGACTCTACGCTTGAGTGGGTTAGAACTATTGTTCAAGATTTTGGTATCCTCGTCATGACCGACTGTTCGTTGACCATGTTAGACGCTCTCCTCCTGTCTACTTTCGTTGAGCGGTGACACTCGAAAACATCTTTTTTTCATCTTTCATTTAGAGATATGACGGTTACTTTGAATGACATCTTTGCGTTGTTCCATCTTCCCATTAATGGGGTGTTTTTCACCGCTCCTATTATCAACGAGATGCATGTTGTGACGGCGATCGTATAGGATATGGGAGTGACTGAGGAGGGAGTGATTAAGGAGTTTAACTACAATAGAGGTCTACATTTGCGGTTGTCTTGGCTCTGGGAGAAGTACGATGAATTTGTGCTGGAAGAGATGTATGAGGTTGTCGCTAGGACGTACATGTTACATCTAGTAGCGTGTATCGTTCTTGTAGACAAGCCTCATAATTATATTGATGCTCGGTATGTATTGTTGTTCCGTGATCTTGACTATGCTAATTGGGCTTGGGAGTGTTGTGCATTGAATATTCTCTATACGGCATTAGGAGTTATGACTCTCTTTGATACAAAGCAGATTTAAGTCTACTACAGGTATGTGGTCAAATTATTTATGGTAGTTATTTAACTATTAGTTGTGAAAAATTTTGTTTGTTAATTATTGTGTTTGTTTTCTATTATTAATTCTGGATATACGAGCACTTTCCCCGTATCGTTGACAGGAGGGAGCATCGTGTCATAGCGGATGCACCACAGACGAGGAGATGGAGGTTCAAACAGACGCATTTAGGAGGATTGCTGGAATACATGAGGAGGATGGATGTCTTAACAATTTAGAATGTGTCATCTGGACACCATACGATGGTCACAAGGCCCACCGTGCATTTGAATCGAGTTCTTTGTTTTCAAGACATTTGGGGTGGGAGAGCATGGTGACTAGACACTTGTCCGGAAGGTGTATGTGACAGTATGGATATATCTAGGGCATCCCATGACATGTTATAGGTGTTCCTGGTGGTGGCATTAGCATTGATAGATGATTTTAGAGTAACATCCTCAACTCAGTTCGTGTCATTAAAGAGAGAACAGTGAAGATTCATGAGGGGTCACAATGTGAGGGTGGACATAAAGGGATACTTCATTGTGTCACACCCTTGCATCATCCCACCTACGATTGACCATTCAGATGTTAGAGTTTCTAAGACTCATGTTGCTATTGATGATGATGTCCCACTGCCACCTCCCCCTGACACAAATGACCATAAGCACCTTCAGATCATTGCTTCTATCGTGGATAATCCCATGGATTTTATAAATTCGGATGGTGGGATTTATACTGACTTGGCGTGGTCAGCACACATAGCCCGTGGGAGTCTATGTGTTATTGTTGTATTATATTTATCATTTTGACACAATTTTTTATTAGCACAGAACTTTTATTATCACTTCATTTTGAACATAACATCTTTCGCACACTAGCATAACTTAAAACATTACAAATTATATAACAAATCTTATAACTTAAAACATTACATAACTCATAGCTTAAAACATAACAACTTACATAACTTAAAACATAAAAAACCTAGACACTACGGGATGATTTTGGACGTTCCATCTTAATTATGTTATTGACAGATCTGGCAAGTCGCGCTTTCAATTCCAACGGCCCCTTAGTTAGCCTATAGCGGTATGATTTCCACATGACCTTCATATCTTCATCGCTCTTCAACTCAACAATGGTGTAACTAACTTTCCCGTCAACATCCATGCTCCAATTTTCACAGTATGAAATCTTCATCACCCTTCTATTATCAACAAGCAGTGATTCTTCCAACTTTTTCGTCACTGACTGGAGGGCCAAAAACTCGTTCAAAATCCAAAAATTCACAGGATCTTGTGCTCAATGAAGTGCTCTGTTGTGTTAACCAAAAATTAAAGAAAAGACATTTGCGATTCTGATTATTTCTCAACAAGTGACCCATATTTATACAATTTTCTGTTCATTCTGAACCATACAAAATTATCGGTGTAATCACAATCCTACAAAACTGTCGACAAAATCATAACCATTAAAAAAAACATATTTTTATAACCTACGAAAAATTTCAACTTCAGTTAAATTTTTTATGTTACCAAAAATGTTTAAATTTCCGAAATTATTTATAACGTATCAGAGTTTTCAAATTGAACTGTTGAAAATTTCAAAGTTATACCGAAAAGTTTAATTAGAAATACTCTTCTATTTCATCACAAGGAACATTTTGGGCATTATAGGATTCCAAAGGTGTCATGTATAAATTTGAGGGTGGCATGTTAAAACCTCCATGTGTTTTGATGTGTCTAAATTCCAAAATCCGAAATTGCAAATATTACAAAAAATTTGCCATGATAAATGAGTAAGGAAAATAGTGTACTGAACAATTCCCACAAACTGAGTAGCCACTAGCACTATACATTATTAGATATTATTAGTTTTTTTTTATTCTTTTAATACATTTTATGAATTTTTAGTTTTTTTTATTCTTTTAATATATTTTATGAAATTTGTTGCTAGTAGGATCCTTTGATGCAGCACTCATAACACTTCAACCTATCAAACCCCATTTCCGATTCCTAATAAATAAATCTGGAAAGTTTTGAACATCAATAGTTCAAACCAAAAAAAAAAATCCTAATTTTTAGTATTATGGAACACAGCCAAGGGATGTTAAAACAAAAGTGTCAACAAATCTCTCATAATAAGGTTAAAATTCAAATACACATGTCATCTTAAACTTTTAGAGTTCCAAGTAGGCTTTCATTATTTCAGTTTGGTCCCGTGACGAACATCTAACAAAACTTTATTTAATTACAGTTTAATTGTGATAAAATTTTGAACCATGTGTTGTAGTTCATCTTGCACACCGTTAACATCGACTCTGATTTTATTTATAAAGGAAAAAATTCAAAGAAACCTTAGCATTCTTTTCCCTCTAAAACAGAAAATTTTCAAATAAATGAAAGTAAATTATTTAAGAATCATAGAAAACTTCAATTTTCATTGGTTTTTTGTGGCTCCAACTATTGTGCCACTCATATGACTCTAAAATTTTCAAACCAGGAACAATCACTAAAGTTTTTTAAGCAATCAGACACTAATGACTCTTAGTCTAGTTATAGAGCTCTGCATTGTGTCAACCACCAGATTGTGAAACAATTTATTCAAAGCAAACGAAAAAACATACATCAAAGTGGAAATCAGGATACTAGCTTAAAATATTTGTTGACAAATGTAATTGAAAATCATAAGAGGGTAAAAAAAGTAAGAGTGACATGCAACATACAAATACACATGCAAACATTAAGACGTGTTCAAATACAGAAAATGCATACTATATGAAATGCATGCTATAATAAAATGTGTATAATTCTACTTGGATAAAAATGGAGGCCACATAATCAAGGAGATTCACTTCAAATAGTTTGCCAAAACTATACCAATTTTAGAAACATTCATCATGGAATCAATGGTAACAGATAAAGATGAATAATCCGAGTAAAACAGAAACAAAAATTATTTTTTACTATATATCGAAGACTATTTTTCTTTCATTTTGTCCTTAAAATATAATGATCATTATCATTATTAAATTTAATGTGTAGTGTATATGCCTGGAACTTGACAAACACAATTTCTTATCCAGTGAAAAAATGGATATGTGCAGTATCAATTTAAGCAGAATTAAAATAGAGAGAAAAAAAGGGTAGATCAAATATTGAAATGAAATAAATGGCCAATGTTTCTAGTTAAAATTTGTTGCTTTTTTAGTAACCTGCCAAATGCCAATAAAAATAGTGGTATCACTAGATAACTCTTCATAGTTTATTTATTTTATACTTTTCAGAAAAAAATAAAAGAAACGCAAAAGCGAAATCTTAAAATATTTAATTATACTTTCCTTCTATAGCCTCATTAAGTTAAAAATTCCGAGTAAATCAAAAAAAAAAAAAACTCATGCTGAATAGGGTGATGGCAGGCCATCATATCCTACCTTTATTATGCCCTTTTCTGATTCTGTTCCATTTGTATAAGGAAGGCTTTTAATTGTAAATATATAATAATGTTATAGATGCGATGTATATAGATGCGATATATCTATCCCCGTAATTTCCGACGTGGAAAGTGTTAGACACACAAAGTGGATTTGCCAAGGCTTGCAACTTTTCTCTCTATATAATTCGGAATTCAACAAATACTCAGCCACAACAAAGGAGTGAGGAAGTATACGAACTTACGGTTTTCTGCAACTATGGAGAAGAACAACGGCAAAGTCTGTTGGATTTGTGATAAGAGGTTCTCCGGTGGGAAAGCCATTGGAGGCCACATGAGATCTCACTACGTCAAATTGTCAATTCCTCCAAAGCTTGAAACTAAGAATCAACCACTAGCCAATTCAACCGATTTAACCCAGCATCCAATTTCTGCTTCCTCACTGACTTGCCATCCCGAAGAAAACCAAACAGAGAATTTTCAACCTATGAAACGCAACTCCTCTGCCTTCTCTGCAAACTCAAACAGAGGAGACAGATCTGTACCCTACCCACAAAGCCCAACCCGCAAGAGATCCAAATGCCACCGCAAATTTGATGCAGCGGACGATACAGAAGCAGCTGAGGCTCTCCGTTTGCTGTCCGAAGGGGAGCCAAAGAGCTGTAGAGGAGACTCGCTTGCTCAAGCTGACTCTCAAACCAGGTTCAAGTGCAATATGTGTGGAAAAATGTTCCAATCTTACCAAGCTCTTGGTGGGCACAAAGCAAACCATAGCAAGACTAAGAATCTGGGCCAGAGTGGTGGATACCCACACTCGTGTTGAATAAGTCCCCGGTGATGATCCCTTAAGTCTCACAAAGTAATTGTGAAGATAGGAAATTGCACACTTAATTTTTCATTATGTACACAGTCTTCCGCTGTGTTCCGTTCTGAATGTTAAGAACAATATTTGCTTTCAATCATTTTAAGTTTTAAGAATTTGACATTGTGGGTTTATATTTATGTAAGAGAGATCTTCGTTTTGATTTTCGCTTAAGTGTTTTTGTTAATTCATGCTGTCCAGTGCTATCAATTGCAGATCGCGGTAAATAGCGGTTTCCTCAAACTCCGTTATGCAACAGTGCTATAACGCCTCTTTAGTCACTATCTGACAACATTTTATACTAAATAGCATGTCGCAGAACAATAGTGATTAGTTCAAATAAAGCTACACTACAGCACTGCTGTTACAGCGTCAATAATCATATTCTCTTTTGTTAGCACATGTGTGATTTTAGATCAAACTTCATCAGCTTGTACTCTGTTTTTGAATGTTGGTTAAAATATATGAAGCCTAGGATGACTGGCTTCTTAATCGTATGTTAGAAACTCTCTAATTTTCACAAGGTTTGTACTTATGAACAGTGTTATTAAATCGAAGCCATGGCATCATAATAACGAATGGCACGGCAGAATTTTCGACAACCGTGTGAGGCAATTTGTGAAGGGATGACCACTATTGCAGCGCCATAGGTCACAATGGTGCGTTTATATAGTGGCTTTGGCTTTCCGCCAACAACAATACTGCTTATGAAATATTACTCCCCACACTATGGTTTAGACCAATCAAGCACGGATACTCTAAAATCTATGCCGTGCCGTATCCGACGTACCGATATGCCGATATGCTCCGATACGCCGCTGATACCTATCAAAGGAGTATTGGGATTTTTTATTTAAAAAATAAAAAATTCCGATATGTCGCGATACGCTGACGACACGTCTCCGATACGCTGTGGATACGGCCAGTTATTCCCATGACTATTCATATTTCTAGGACATGAATCAATCTTCCTCCTCCTTAATTCTTCTTTTCTCAACTTTAATTACCTAATCACTTTCATTTTTTCTATTACAAGAATCAAACTTTTTCTTTAATTACTTCTCTTTCAACTTTAACTATTTTTTCTTTTTCTCACAATTCCTTTAGCAATTATTATCAAATTTTGCAAAATCAATTGAATTTTGTTCGAGAATCATTTAACTAATGTTTAATTTTAATTTTTTTTATATATGTTATCTTAAACGTACCGTATCCTAGATTTTTCAATTACTAACGTATCTCCGTATTGGATACGTATCGTATCTGATACTCGTATCGTGTCCGTGCTTCATTGGTTTAGACTAATGGACTTATATTTTATATAATGTAGTAACACACATCATATATAACTCGTTGAACAACAAAAGTAAAAGTTCTTTGTTATTATAACCTTGTGGAAGCATTGATATGATTACAAGTGTTATCTGTGTATTTCAAATTTTGATACGAAAACATCAAATTTCTTGGAATCGAGGAAGAAAAGTTTTGTTTAACTTTGGGTTGAACCTTAGGAAAGGTTCAGCGCAAATGCTCTGATATGACTATCTTGGAGAGAAACTAAGCCTTGATTTATTATCCCTTTCTCAAAGTCTCATAGCTCATGTGATAGTTTCTGTGACACCATTTATGGCAAAAAGGCCAGACATAAGAAATACCTGAGAAACCATGATCAGACAAAAGAGGTATCAGATCTATCTCCAAAGGTATTAGATATTCCCCTGTTATTCCAAAACTAACAAAACAGGGATTTGGGATTGTGCAAAAGTTTAACACCCTCTAATGGGTCCTAGGTAACTGAAAAAAGATGCGGTGGAAACTGGCTTAAATAATAAAATGGGGAAAAACGAAGAGAAAAAAAACCCAAGCGGTTTTGAAGGCTGAATGGAATCACATAACAGTATAGCGCCACTAGATGATTCTTAAAGCTCCTCATGTGCATCTCCGTGAATATATTAAGCCAAGCTTCTTAACATAAAGACCAACTTAACTGATGGAGCCATCTTTTAGAGACCGCTCGAGTGATTTTTGTCTTCTAGGGACAAACTTGATCAATTCCTTGTCTTTTAAAGACCAAAATAATTATTAGTATTATTCTCTAACATTGCCGCACTATTATGTATGTGGATAATATTGCCTAACATTCTCTTGAAACATAGTACTTTCCGATTCTTTATACAGATCTTGGACACAAGAAAACTCTACAAACTCGATAGCACGTCGTCATAAATTTATTTGTAACTCTTCTCATATCATTATTCACCCTTTTTTATGAAACTTAGGAACTTCCATTTTATTTCACATTAACACATTAGTTAGCAACATGCCAATTACCAATCAAGCAATAAGAAATCCAATACAAGTATATAACAATCTCATCTAGTCTTCTACCCTAGGGTTGAACACATAGCATACCATATGCAACATATATTATGCTACTGGTCACTTTAACAATCAAAACAATGAATCAAACAAATACTCACCTTTTGCAAAGTGTGGCCTTACTTTGATGTGCGATTGCAATAACATTCTCATCTGCAATTAATTGCGATGCTTAGTGGTCAAAACAAAAATAAACTCAGCTTAATATAGTACATGTATGTGTATTTACTCATACAATATAAAACATTCTTAGAATGCATGTTGTTCAACTTACTAGCGCCATTAATTGACAAAACTTAATATTAGACATAAATAGCATATCGCACAACAATAGTGCTTTGTTTAAATTCCACTACAATATTGTGCTGCTATAGTAGTTATTTACTATGAAGCTGACACCAGAAACACGACACACGTCGACACCGATAATCACCGATAATGATTTGAAAAAATAAATTAACGTAATCACAAGTGTTGGAAGTGTTGGTGTCACGACAAACATTTTTTTCAGATGTGTAGCTGCTAGAGAGGTTAATTAACAACACCGGAACTAATCATAATAATAGGTCAGAGAGAGAATGTTACCGGTGAATCGGGAACTGTTGAATTCCAATAAAATCTTTGAGTTATCTACAAAAGAGAAGAAAGAAAGGATTAACAAAATGAGATTTGAATTGCTTGAAGAAATAAATAGTAATAGTAAGCTTCTATAACCTCAGAATCGCGGTGTGGGGTTGAGATCTGATCAGCTGCGACGCCTTTTGCAGAGGCGGCTACGGCGGCCGTAAATCGCGCCGAATTCCCATCTTCGGGCGCGCCACGGAAGGAGAGAGGGAAACCCAAATTTGTTGAGGATACCCCTACGCTTGGGGCTGTATAATATCTATCCACTTTTTTCCCGTGGAAAAACAAAACTAGTAGTAACACTACTAATAATACTCCTAAAGTTTATTTTCTTCCTAAATAACTTGATTTTTTTTATTTTGACCCACATAAGAAAAAAAACTTAAACACAACTTTTTTAGAGCGGTTTTTACTTATTTTTTAAAGAAAATATGACAATATTTAAATATCGTTCAAGGAAAAATTAAGAGAATATATATATATATATATATATATATATATATATATATATATATATATATATATATATATATATATATATATATATATATATATATATATATATATAAAGGAAAAATTAAGAGAGAAAAAATATAATATATATATAAAAGAAAATTATATGTTTATCATATTTTTATTAAAAAATAGTAAAAATTACACTTAAAAAATTATATCAAAATTTTCTTCTTTGAAATTTTAATCTCTCAATAAATTAATTCAATATGTAATAATATGAAATTCCCGCAACTAGTTGTTGCACAGAGCACGGAAGAGATTACAGACATAAGCGTTTATGAGTATTTCTTGATTGTCTGTTCTATGTTTATCGAGTAGACTGGGAAATAGTTGCCTGCGTGGACATGAGTGTGTCTTGGGCATCCTTGGCCTTACTGTTCAAGGGGCGTGGTCGATCAGGGATGTCGAACAAGAGGTCTACAACTAATGGGTTAGCGTTGTTGGGTCATGTTGGATGTAGACGTGGATTAGACCAATCCTAGTCATTGGGTCAGTCCAGAATAGGAGTCCTCCAAGTCGTTGCCTCTGAGCAGAGGGGTAATGACTTAAGACGTGCTCGCGGTATTTTCGAAGAACTGCTTCTTTCGAGGATCTTGAGCGTTGTTTCGGGGAGAGGAACAACTAATTGAAATTTGGAGAGTTTATGTGTCACGCTTGTTTTGGGCCACGTGCTATTAGACGTGTAATGATGGCTAGTCTATGAACTATGACGTAATATGATGCCCTTTAGGTTTCCCTAGGTGTGTGCCTGCTCACGCGCTAGCAAGCTGCTTTATAAATGGGGGAAGAGGGATTTTTGTTTGCATTTTTTGCTTGCTCTTTTTCTTCTCGCTTCTGCTAGTTCTGCATGACACCGTCGTTCTCCGCCGATGTTCTTGCTCGTTCGACCATTTAGTGTTGGAATTTATGTTCGTACCGCCGTTAATCTTTCCTAACCCGGTAAGTTTCTCGATTTCTCCCTGTTTATGTTGAATTCGCTTCTATTCTAGGTTAGATTTTTTATTTCTTTTCCTAGAAATGCATGTGGTTAGGGCTTATAGTAGTTTAGTGCAAAACTCTCTGGCGATATGTTGGTGTTTAAAAGGTGGTTTTCCCACATGAGGGTGTCGGTTCTGCCGCGGGTTCTTCAGGAAAGTCTAGTGTCAGGGCCGACAATGGAAAGTGGTGGTGACTCCCCCGGCGAGGTTGGGTCGTTTCTGGGTTTTGGTTGCGATCTTTATATGTTCATGATGAACTTTTAGGAGTGGCTTAACCCAGATGCATCGAGGAGGTCGCTGCCTGCGTGGTTTATGTTCCAGCTCAGCCTACACGCGCCTGATATGCTTCAAGAGATGGTCATGATGCCTGCTCTTAGTTATCGAGTGGGGGCTCTGGTCAGGGATAGGGTCCTTGTTCCTTTGAACGCCCTTTCACTTGATTAGCGGTGGAAGTGTGGATTTGATTTTAATATCGAATTCACTTTTGTCACCTGCTTTTCACGTATGATGGCCAGTAGTACCGATGACGAACTCATGAGCGAGCATAACAGTTTTGTACCAAGTTCATCCGAGTGTACGTCAACCAAGGGGAGTACTTCGGGGGCGTGTGATATTGATTTTGGCGTACCTGAGCAGGGCGTAGATGTGTTGGATGCTCTGCAGCCCCTGAGGATCACTTGGCCTGGGTCGCGCTAGGTCCTTTGGAGATTATCTCCTACTTTGTTGAGCACCTGGATGAAGTGTTCACGTCGGTGGCTCTGGGGATAGAGTCGGAGGATGTCGAGGAAGAATGGGCGATTTACGTTCTCAAGGAAGAATCATCGCATATGCTTGAAGTTTGATTCAAACCACATTCTTATGTATGGGATTATCTTCTGAGAGTTGGATATTCGTCTTCCTTTCACTGATCTCCATGTGGCTTTTTTTCGGCATCTTCGTCTTTCTCCCTTCCAGCTTCATCCCAACTCGATTGCCTTCCTACGGGATTTCGAGATAGTGTGTGATTATTTGAAGATAGAGGCCATCGTTCCTTTTTTCTTCTACTGCTTCCATCTCCAACGGGGCACGGTTGATACCCAGTTCAGTAGGGTTTCCCTAAAGTAGGCGAACGGGAAGTTGTTCAAGGCCTATCTTGAATTTTTCCGACATTTTAAGGATAGGTATATGATGATCTAGCCCATGTCAGAGAGGGTGTTGTTGAATGTTTTTAGGAGCGTTCCACTGGTCGACGACATTAGGGGTCCTGTGTTGAACGGGGAAGGGGACCCGGTGATAAAGCTAGTGTCGAAGTTTAGTTTCTATTGGTCGAGGAAACATTTTACTCATGGGATCAACCATTATATCTGGAAGAAGGGTCAACTAGATGCCAGTGATTAGGCCAATTATGACCAGCTGCTGGCTTTCGTTGTGGGGATACCCCCAGTCCAGCGTGTGGGCAATGGGGGAAGACCTGTTATTGACGAGGACGAGACACTGGTGTTTGAACCTGGCCTTATAAATGTTAAGGAGCTCCTTGAGAGCGAGGAGTGTTTAAAATATCCAGGTAGTGGTTTTGTTTCTTGTTTCGATTGGGTTTGTATGTACATTTCTTTATCCCCATTTGTTGACTTCGACTTGTTATTTTGCAAAAAAAATGAATGTTGCCCAAGAGCATATGGTCAAATCGGATGCCATCAAGGCGAAGAGGGGACATAATTTCGTTAAAGGCTCTCAAGGTGATGTGAGGATGGCTTCTTAGACTGGTTTGGGGACATCATCGACTGGTCAGGCTATCGGGTATCCTTCTCCTCAGCAGGTGTCCTCGAGGTTCAAAAGACCATGTATCGAGGGTGTTGTCGACCTGACAGAGGAACAAGAAAAGGGAAAGTTTGAACTCCCCCCGTGCTTTCATGATAAGTCCTTCTTCGAGGGCTCCTCTCTACAGGTTCATCGAGCTGAATCATTGGTGCTCGAAGAGATGGATCGTCCGAGAAAGCAGACGATGCTGGCTTGAGATATTGGTGCTCTGATGAGGATCATGGGGATGGCAGTTGTGTATGCTGAGGAGGGTTCTTCCCAAGAGATTGAGTTGAAGAAGTTCAGAGCTAAGGTAGCGGTTCTCGAGGAGAAGCTCAACAAGGCGAAATATTCCAATAAAGTGTTGTCGGAGAGCCTGACTAAGTTGACCGAGGAGCATAAGACTCTTGTGTTGGAAAAGAAGACCCTTGAGGACACGGTCATAGCTATGAGGGCAGAGATGGCTCATGTCGGGGATGAACCAGATGAGGCCAAAGGTCTGAAGACCCGAACAAAGTTGGTTGCTCGCCTCCAACTGGCCGTGGACCGTGGTCTGGCTAATGCCGAGAGGAACTTTGTTAATGTCGTGGCGCAGCTCAGAGTGGCGAATCCTGGTATGGAGTTGGACACAGCTGGGACGGGGTTCCTCTACCATGTAGCGGATGTAAAGATTATTTTCCCTGACTCCCTCAAGTTTGGAGAGGACAAATTAGTCAAGGAGCATGTCCAAGAGGATCGTGCTCATGGGGAGGGATCTCAGCCCGACGTTTGACCATCTTGTTGTTTCTCTTTTTTGTTTTGGCATGTGTGTCGCTTTATTGTAATCTATTTCAGGGGCTCTGGCCATTTTTATGTAATATTCAAACAATTGTAGTCCTCGTGGCCATTTGTTTGTATTTTGGAAGGGGGCTACGTGCTCCTTTTATGTAATGTTCTAACAATTATGGCTTCGTCGTTGCCTTTTAATTTTTCAATAGTGGTGGTCGTTTCATCTTAATCAGCATCATTTAAGTTTTTTTAACTTAGTCCATGCGTGATTTATTGATCTTTGTGGAATAATTGCGTATATGTATGCTCGTTGGCTCGAGACATTTATTTTGATCAAGAGTTTGGGGGTTTGCTCGTTAGTGTTTGAAGCTCGCTAGTGTGGGGAGACTGATCGAGCAGACATGGCTATTTTTGGGCATGGGCCAAAACTCGTGTCTCGTTTGGAACCTGACCTCAGCGACGTGAACTTCCCATCACGAGTTGGGCGTTCTACCATCTTGGTACGACGATAATGGAGATCGTTTGAGTTTTCCATACCGGGCTAAGAATCTGGTCATCAAAAGAGTGGAGACTTGCCTCTTTGTTTAATTTGGAGTGCGATGCTTGTACCCGAGCATGCACGCATGGTCGGGACTATCGTGTTTGTCGTTTTGATAGAGCACACTGACTATTTTTAGCGCCTTAGTTATAATATTGCTTCATTTTTTTGGTGTTCCAAGGTCGAGCAATTGTTCCTCGTGTAACTTTTCTAAGTAGTAGGCTTCGGTCCATGTTTTTGCATGGACACGGTAAGGGCCTTTCTAGTTTACGGCGAGATTTCCCTTACGAGATTCCTTGTGATTTCTCTTTAAGACTAGGCTACCGACTTTGAATTCACGTTGTATGACTTTGGTGTCATATTGTATGGAAATTATTTGTTTGAGAGAGGCTTCTCATAAGGGCGCCCCGGTTCGGACTTCTTCAACGAGGTCGAGCTCTTCTCTTAAGTCTTCATCATTCATTTCTTCTTCAAGAGTAGCTTTAGTCTGTCTTGATGGTTCTCTGATCTCGACGGGGATGACGAACTTGGTTCCATATGCTAGTCGGAAGGGAGTCTCCCAGGTCAATAAGTAGGATTTTGTTCGGTATGCCCAGAGCATGTTGTGCAACTCCTCGACCCACCTCTTTTTGGTTTTGTTGAGCCTTCACTTAAGTCCTCAAAGGATCACTTTGTTCGTGGCTTCAGCTTATTCGTTCATTTATGGGTGTTCTACACAAGCGAAGTGTTGGATGGTGCCTAACCTGGCGACGAGTTCTTGGAAATTCATGTCTGTGAATTACGTCCTGTTGGTGGTGACAATTGCTTGGGATATTCCGAACCAGGAAATGATGTTCCTCTTGTAAAAGCGCAGGATATTTTACGTTGTGATTTTGGCTAGTGCCTCTGCCTCTATCCATTTTGTGAAATAATCTACGGCTACTATCATGTGTTTGTTTTGGTTCAATTTCATAAAAAATGGCCCTATGAGGTTCAAGCCCCACCACATGAAGGGCTGGGGTAAGGAGAGGGACTTGAGCTTACTTGGGGGTGCTAAGTGCAATTCCTCATGGCGCTGACATTTGTCACATTTCTTCATGTGTTATTTAGCATCGTGTTGCATGGTGGGCCAATAATATCTTGCTCGTAACGCTTTCCTAGCGAGGGATCTTTCGCCCATGTGTTGGGTGTTGATTCCTTCATGGATCTCTTGTAGGATATGAGTGACCTTGTTCTCTTCGATGCATTTGAGGAGGGGTATAGAGAATCCTCTTCTATACATTTTGGCTTCGATCAGGATGTAGGAGGAGGCTTTTTGTCTGACCATGCTGGCTTCCTTCTGGTCGGATGATAGCTCCCCTTTTTGAGGTAGTTGGATATCAGCGTCATCCAACAGCTACTGTCGCCGATTACATACACTTCTAGGGCCGATGAGAGTTTTTTAATGCTCGGTCAAGGTAGTATTTCCTCTATTACAGATTTGTTCCCTCATTTTTTTTTTGTGCTGGCCAATTTTGACAGTATATTTGCTTGAGAATTATGTTTGAGGGGAACATATTATACGCCCACAAAGTTAAATTTCTTCATTCTTTCTTGGAACAGAGTCCAGTATTCTGAGAGTTGGTCGTTTTTAACCTGGTATTTCCCTCGTACCTGGGAGGCGACGAGCTGGGAGTCTGTGAAGATCTTTACTTCCTTGGCGCACAAGTCCTTGGCTAGACGGAGCCCGGTGAAGAGAGCCTCGTATTCTACTTGATTGTTCGAGGTTGGGAAGGATAGCGTGAGAGACTTCGGTTAATATTCCTTTCTTGTTTTTCCAGTATGATACATGCTCTGCTTTCTGTCAAGCTAGAAGCTCCATCCACGAAGATGGTCTACTTGTGTGCCCTATTTGTGGGGGTCAGGAAGGTCATTTCTGCTACGAAGTCGACCAACACTTATGCTTTAAGGGCTTTCCTTCTCTCTTACCAGATGTCGAACTCAGAGTTCTAACGACCACTTGAGCATTTTGCCGGCCATATCAGGCCGACCAAGTAGTTATTTTACTGGTTGGTTCGTGCCGACCACAATGGTGTGTGCCGAGAAGTAGTATCCCAGTCTCCCCGTCATGTTGATGAGTGCAAGGGCTACTTTCTATATTTGATTGTATCTTACTTTGGGACCTTGCAAGGCTTTTCTCGTAAAGTAGACTGGCTTCTGCCCCTCGAAGGTCTCTCGAATAAGAGTAGTGTTGACTGCCTCAAAAGCTACGGCCGAATAAAGGTAGATAGTCTCTTCCTTGCCTGGTCTCGACAGGACCGTTGGTTGAGATAATTCCCATTTGAGATGGAGGAGGGTGCACTCCCACTCTTCGGTCCATTCAAATGCGGCTTCTTTGCGGAGAAGTTTAAAAAAGGGGAGCGTGTGTTGGGCATACTTTGCCATGAAATGGGACAATGATGTGAGCATTCAGTTTAAAGTTTGGATTAATTTTTTTGAGCTCAGG